GCCTACAATTCCAGCATCCCATATGGGTGTTGGTTTGAGACCCAGCTGCTCCTCTTCCAATCCAGCTCCCTGCTAATGCATCTGGGAAAGCAATGGAAGATGGCACAAGTGCTTGGTGCTCTGTACCCACTTGGGAGACCTGGAAGAAGCTCTTGGCTCCTGGCTTCAGCCTGGCCCAGCTCTGAACGTTGCAGCCATTTGGGAATGAACCAGTGGATAGAAGATATCTCTGTCTGTCTCCTTCTGTCTCTTCCTCTCTCTCTCTGCAATTCTGCATTTCAAATAATTTTTTTAAAAATTAAATTTGATTCTAGAAAATTCTCTTGAATGCATGAATGAATGAACAAATGAACCTAGCAACAGACTCAAAACATAAACTTTGACCACTTGATGCCAACTGCAGTTATCAAGCTTATGTGTTATATATAACAATGATTCTACAATGACCCTAAGTAAAGGGGGAATTTTCTTATGTATACATTTGCTAAATAATGAAGTATATGAAGATGATAACACTACCCACGAGTGAAGCAAGCTTCTTGTGTTGTCCTTGTAGTTGTGGTAGCATAACTTCATGTTCCATTTTCTATTCATCTTCTACCATATCTTTGAAATGAATAAAACTAAATAGGAGTAGGAAGAGAAACTTAAAAAAAAAAAGTGTTGAACATCCTCCATATGCCAAGCCCTGACCCGGGCTCATTGCAGTTCCTATTTTATCTAGTACTCATCATTGTTCTGTTGGAGATTTCCCTTCCCATCTTACAGATGAAGAACCTGGGGCCCAGAGTTGTTACGTAGTGTGCATTATCACAAAGGATGTCGTTTAAACCCATGCATGTCTGATTCCAAAGTCTATCTCTATTCTGCTGTCCCCCTTGCCTACTTGGTTGTGGATGGTTCATCTAGGACTGAACTGGCAGGGGACACATGATACGTGTGGATTTGAGTGGTAAAAAAGAAAGGCAGTATTTCTGGTACTGGTATAGGTGCATTTTCCATTTTTCCAACTTCATGCAGTTAATCAGTCAGCAATTGTATTGAATATTTTCTATGTAACACTACTGCGTATTTAATCTTCCCACAAGATAGAGCCCCTTTGAAAAATATACACAGTAAAGGCAAAAACGTGCTAGATCTTGAGCCTAATGTTTATATCTTGAGCATAATATTTAATATTTAATGGTGCTATCATCAATGTGGCTATAGTTCAAGAAGCTTAAATTTTATTTTGTAAGCTAAAAACCTGTAAAGATGGTTTAGCTAAATCCGAACAAATTTCCTCCTTTGGCTTAGGATGCCACAAAACTGATAGATACAACTCATCTGTAAATATTCAGGCCACAGAGCGAGGGGTGACTGACTCCTCTGTGCCTAACTCTGCAGCTGGAAATTATGCCTTGGCAAGAACATGAGTAATTTATGTCTTGCAGAAAGAGAAAACTATTATCTTACTCCAACCAGAAAGTTTGTTAGCATAACTGTGTGCATTTTAGTATTTGAATACAGATGTTCCAAAATGTTTCCACTGTGGGAAGCAGCTGCTGCTACTCTAGCACAAAAATCTCAAAGAGATTAATATACAAAGGCAGTGTGAACCTTCTTGGTAAAAGCAGCATCTGCTTGAGGTGGGGCCTGTGATTCCCCATAGAGAGTGGGGCTTCAGATTCTCATTAGCAGCCTGCAACCATGTTTCAGATCTGAGTTTATCTGCGGGAACAGGAACAAAGACAAGTGATTAATTTGTAATTCATTTAGCTGATAAATATCATCACATGTTATTTGCCCAGGGGCTGTAAAACACTGGACGGCATTTCCTGTGGCAACTGATAGGAATACAGATGTTTGGCCACGATGACTGATATGTTCAGTTGCCATTACCAGCTTCTGCTTTGTAACGGAGCTCAGCCCCACCAGTTTGTAGCCATAAAACACCCCCACCACCACCTTAGTATGGTGCATGTTGGAGTCCCCCAAGGGCATTTGCACGCTCGACTTCATCTGAGCCCCTGCCAGCCTGCACTGTGAGGCCTGCACAGTAGTAGTATTAGCACCATTTCACAAGTAAGAAAGATGAGATGAAGAAGCAAAATGGCTCAGTAGGATTACAAGCCAGGGCCTCTGACTAAATGCTACTGCACTCTCAAGATGCCTCTGCTTTCAGAGCTGTGATGGGTTCTCCCTATGGACACTTGCTATCCCAACCTGACCACATTGCCTGCTGACTGGAGGTGGCCAGGAAAGAGCCCACGTGGTCATCCTTCCCTTCCCCCACACCTTACAGAGGAAACAGCCAAATACTTGCCCGCCTTGTGTTCAGAGAGCCTGGTCTCCTTGGCATTTAGACAAACGAAAAGCCAGAAACAAGATCTCAGGGCTGTCATCCGGAGTTGGGATAAGACAGCAGTTGCTGAGAACAGTGATGCTGGGGTATTGTGCCGACCCTGAGCCTTATAAATCCATATCCCGCAGTGTTCAAGGGCTCATTACCTCCAACCAGATCTGCCATTTGGACCCACCTAGTAAATTATTTATGGCTTCCACATTTGACAGGGGCTCACGTCTGTTTGAAAACGCTGAGTTTCTGGCTTGCTCCTGAAGTCCGGGCTCAGAGCAGTGAAGTCGCTGGAGATCCTGGTGCTGGTGATGGGCGGGGCATTTCTGAACCAAGTGTGTCTGCTCCAAGCCACACTAGGGAAAGAGCCTGTGTGTGTTACTTTGAGGACAGGAAAGGTTTGTGGGTGGGAGAGTATGGGACCAGTGTCCTCCATGGCCAAAGCTGGGTAGAGAAAAGCCCAAAGGATGAGGTGGGAGGGCCAACTACTCAAGGAGAGGAAAAAGGCTGAGTCCTTGGGCCTGGCTCGAGGGGGGGATAAAAGGCTATTGGGCTGGGGCGCAGGTGGGAGTGTGAGCAGTAGAAAGACCCCTGCTCAGGGTGCTGACGTGGAGTCCTAACCTTGGTCCCAAAGAGGCCCTTACAGCGGGAACCTCAGGCCTGGACATGTCCGAGTGGCACGCCGTTCTGTGACATCATTGCTGCTTCTGCCAGCAGCACGCTGTGGCAGCACTGTTACTTTGTGGGACTTTTCTGTTCTCTACCACCAAGAAAACAACAGAAACGCAACTCTCTCAGTATTTATTTCTCCTGCTTTCTAAATCTTTTGGTGGAACATCTGTGAAATGGTAAAAGCAAAATGAAAACAGTGTGGAACATTTCGCAAATACACTATTTTCTTTCTTTCTTTCTCTCTCTCTTTCTTTCTTTCTTTTATTTATTTTTTTGACAGGCAGAGTTAGACAGTGAGAGAGAGACAGAGAGAAAGGTCTTCCTTCTGTTGGTTCACCCCCCAAATGGCTGCTATGGCCGGCACGCTGCACCGATCCGAAGCCAGGAGCCAGATGCTTCTCCTGGTCTCCCATGCGGGTGCAAGGCCCAAGCACTTGGGCCGTCCTCCAATGCCTTCCTGGGCCACAGCAGAGAGCTGGCCTGGAAGAGGAGCAACCAGGACAGAATCTGGAGCCCCGACCGGGACTAGAACCCGGTGTGCCGGCGCCGCAGGTGGAGGATTAGCCTAGTGAGCTGTGGCGCTGGCCCAAATAGACTATTTTCAAGCATGGTGAAAATGGTCTCAGTCGTTTTGATCAAGAACTGCTATTTCACAGGCAAAGAATGTAGGGTAGCAAATCACTCACATCCATAAAATATTAATAAAAGTGTTCCAAAGTGCACAGACAGAGCACTTGTCATCAAGAAATGCCTTACTCGGGAGGCCAGCACCCCTCCCTGTCATTCTCCAGCGAAAGGCTCTTGGGAAGGCGACTTGCCTACTTGTGACAGAGCGTACCCTCTGTGCTGCCAGCATTGTGTGTTCATGCTGTGCAGAAGGGGCATTGTGAGAAAGGGACCTGCTGGACTCCAGCTATACACAAGTACGGAAGGAAGAGAAGCGTCGGCAAGCTTCCACCTCTTAGAATAAAAAGAAAGGCAGAAAAATTGCCCAGTATAACTTCCCTTTTTTATTTCTAAGAGGGAGTTGGAAACTGCAGACTAGAATCTAAACACTGTGTCTACTTGGTAAGATTCTAGAAACTGTGTAACATCCTCTTTGTTAGTTTGGTTGTCCCTCTGTGGTTTACCATATGGACAGACTCATTTTCATGAAAACCTTTAAGATAGAAAGGATTTGTATGCTTTCTTGGGACAAGAGCTGGTTAAGTGACAAGCAGTATGATGGGACTAGAAAGATAGCTGCCCTCTGCACAGAGAGGCTGGGCTCAGAGGCGCGGCTGCGTAAGAAAAGCAAAGCTTAAAGAGCCAGTGTGAGCCTGGGAAGGGGGGGCGAGACTTAATGAGGCCCGATGGAGACGGCCGCATGCGGAGGCACAGCTTGTAACCCCCGCATCGTTGGCCTCTGAGACTCACGTACGTGGAAACCTGCCACAGTGAGCAGTACTGTGCAGGAACAAAGGTAAGCGAGCAGGAGTCTCCAGTGTGGTCGCCCCGTCCCTTACCGTTCATGTATGCATTTGCTGTGGAAGGAGACACAAATGGAGAAATGCCCCGGAGTACAGAGTCAGGCATGGATTTCTCCCGGGACTGTCCTGTGGGCTGTTATACACAGCAGTGAGTTTCTTATACCACAGAGGTTAATAGGTATTAACAGAGACATAATTTCATAGTGAATATTGGAAATGTTGATAAGTCTTTAAACTAAAAGAAATATATATTATACAACCTGTTTCTATGAGATAAGGTACGGAAAGTCACTGATTAAATTATCATTGTCTCTCTCTCTCTCTTTTTTTTTTTTTTTTGTTAAGGGCTTGCTGTTGGGTGTGTTCTTTATCAGTTCTGCTTAGGTCTGTGGACCACTGATAGGAACACCAGTAGGAACTGGATTGATAGTTGTAGGCCAAGTGTGTGAAACTCCATCTGCGGGGACAAACCAAAGCCATTTCCTGATGTGCTTCCATTTCTCTGCCTTACCATTTCTCTGCAGGCAGCTTCATCAGCCCTGAGCAGTCTGGGCCACGTGTACACAGCCATTGGAGACTACCCCAATGCTCTGGCCAGTCACAAACAGTGTGTTCTTCTCGCCAAGCAATCCAAAGACGAACTTTCTGAAGCCCGAGAGCTTGGCAACATGGGAGCTGTGTACATTGCCATGGGTGACTTTGAGAATGCTGTACAGTGCCACGAGCAACATCTGAAGATAGCCAAGGACCTGGGGAACAAGCGAGAGGAGGCCCGGGCCTACAGCAACCTGGGCAGTGCCTATCACTACAGGAGGAACTTTGACAAGGCCATGTCCTACCACAACTACGTGCTGGAGCTGGCGCAGGAGTTGGTGGAGAAGGCTATTGAGATGCGGGCCTATGCTGGCCTGGGCCATGCTGCCAGGTGCATGCAGGATTTGGAAAGAGCCAAGCAGTACCACGAGCAGCAGCTGAGCATCGCTGAGGACCTCAAAGACCGGGCTGCCGAAGGGCGAGCGTCATCCAATCTGGGTAAGGAAAAAGTTGCCTGCAAGATTCCACACCAGTGCCGTGAGCTGCCAATAGCTGAGGTGCACCACTGGCTTTAGCAGGAATCTGTGTGCTTGCATTCGTGAGATCTCCTCATTGCACGTGTCATGTCTTTCCTTCAGATAGATTTCTGTGGAGCCTGCCTACTTTAAATCACACAGTCTTTCCTATCATCAGAGTCCCCTAAGGATTACCACTCTGAAATGCTAGAAAAACAAAGCACTCCAACCTTTTAATCCATCGACAGAGAGGAGCAGCCAGATTTATCTAATTACAGAGCAGAGGCATGGAAAGATGATAGAGAGCTATGCGTGGTCTAAATAAAACAGAGGCTGCTAGGAAGTCATCGATGGAAGGGAATTCGAGAGGAGTTTTCCTGACAAGGATTTCTGTAGCTGGAGACTTTTACCCCAGAGAAATTTTAGTTTTTCTCAAAATCATGTGTATTCACCAATAATGTTGTTAGTTTTAGTATAAATGCAGAATTATTTTTGTAAAAGATCTCTTAAGTAAAATTTGCTGTCACTGTTTTGTTAGTACTTGGTTAAAATTAAGACATTTATAATCTGAGAGTTTATATGTAGTGGTAAGACATAGTAATTGCTACTTCTTAGAAGATATTGTTATTTTGTCTTTGTATCCCATCAGATGTGGATACATAGTGAATGGAAGGTACAGATGTGTTTGGAAGTATGAGCTGGCCCCATTCCTGTGCCCACAGGGATTCGGGGTGGGGAGAGAACAAGGGGAAGGTGACCTCGCTGGTATGGGACACAGAATATAAAACCCTCTTGCTTACCTTATCTGCCAAACCACGGTATCCCCTCCCTGTTTGTCGTGTTAGCTCCGACCTCCCTCTCCCCGCCCTCTGCTTGTTTTAACTGAACCCTTGTTGAACAGTTGTTGGAGAAAGTCTTGCACATCCTTAGCGATGGCTCTGAAGACAGTCTTGATGAGAATGGGAGTCTAGAGAGTCTAACAGAACCACAGAAATAGGCTCTTGGCTTCATATGGTTACAGGCGTTTACTGAATCCTTACTATGTGCTTCATCCTAGGATAGTTGCTTTAAGGGATACAGAAGGTAAAAAATTATCCTTGCCCTCGAAGAGCTTATCATTTACTTATGATGAACACTTAAGACAACAGTGGCCTCCCTACCCTGCTGGTTAATGGTGTTGTGCTATCCTGGGATTTCTAGAAGGGAGACTGTAAGGGCTAGGAGCTTGGAAAGCTTCTTGGAGGAGGTTAGGTGAGGGACAGGTGAGATCTGGCCAGGAATAGGATGTCAGCAGCGATGGCAAGGGACGAGTGAGAGGAGCTGCAGTAGGTTGTCTAGCTGAGCAGTGGTGGCAGGATGCCCTTGGGAGTGTGGTGGAAGATGTAGTGTGAGAACCAGGCAAGTGATATGCTGGTGAACGGGAACTTCTGAAGGTTCCCAAATGTAGGTGTGAGAAAACCTGGACTAGGTATTGAGGTAAATGGGCCACATGGGGGCTTGCTGGATGGATTGGAGGGCTTGGGACTCGCAGTTCAGGTTGTGTGTAGTAGAGTGTTCAGATCTTCCTTTTTCTCTTGGCAGCTTTGATTAGTTATATTTTTCAAAAACTTTGTTTCATCTAAGTTGTTGAATTTATTGGCCTAAAGTTGTTTATACTGTTCCCTTATTATTATGTTCATGCTTGTAGAATATATATTATCCTCTTTCACTCTTGAAAAAATGATATTTGTAGTTTGTGTTTTGCATCCTACGTTCTCCCCCCAACTCACACTAACTAGAGATCAATTTTCTTGATTGTTGTGAAGAATCTTTAGCTTTTGTGAATTTTTTTCCTGTTGCTTTTCTGTTTTCTATCTCATTTATTTCTGCTTTTAGTTTTTATAATTGTTTTCTGCTTACTTGGGATCCTCTTTCTACCTACTGAGGTTGAATCTTAGATCATCAATTATGGACTCTTTCTCTTTTAAAAAAATTATTTTCTTCTGTGGGAGGCAGAGTGACAGAGAGGGAGAGAGCGAGCAAGGCCATGCATAGATTCATGTCCCAAATATCTGCAATGAGACTGGTCTGTGGCCAAAGTGGGAGCCAGCTTGGGAATCCAGGGCTCCCATGTGTGTGGCAGTGACCCAGTTACTTGGGCCATCACTGCTGCCTCCCAGGGTCTGCATTAGTAGGAAGCTGGCATCAAGAGCTGAAGCCAGGAATCAAACCCAGTTATTCCAGTAAGGGTCGTGTTCATCTTAACCACTAGGCTAAATGCCTGCTTCCCTTTTCTTCTAATAAAAGCATTAAGGAAAATGAAATAAAATGTCCTCTAAATACTGCTTTATTTAAATCCCATAATTTTTAATTATGGTCCTTCCCACCCCACTCCCACCACACGCACACACACACACATACACACACACCCATTTTCACATTTGGAGATTTTAGTTATCTGCAGTCAATTGTGATATAATAATATTATTATTTATCTTGACTATTTCAAAAGAGATAGAGTAGATCCATTATTGCTAATCTCTTACTGTGCCTAATTTATAAGTTGAAGTTTATCTTAGGGAAGTATACAATACAGGAAAACGTATATACTCCCAGTGATGATTTAGTACAGATTAAAGTCAGCCACAGCAAGAGGCCCATGTGGCAGAGTCAGAGAGAGTTCTAAGAACACAGAGCTTCCAGTTGTCCTCTCCCGGTGGAATCTTGGACAGCGCCAGTTTTTCCAAGTACTGATCTCTGACAACATGCACAGGGGATGGCCTTGATATCCAGAGTTTCACTGGACCTTGCTCGTGTAGACAGAGCTGGCCACCTGCGGAGGAGGCCTTGGTTTCCCTCCTCGTGGAGTTTGAGGTGATAGCAAGTGTCCCTAAACCCTGTGGAGTTTGAGGTGATAGGACGTGTCCCTGATCCCCCACAGGAAATCGCTTTGTGAGCAGAGACTGGCAAGGTCAAGGTCCTTGGGTAAACCAAGACTCTTCTCAGGGAGGGCCTCCCCAGGGCTCTGCCAAGCGTGAAGGGTCTCTGGGCATGGTTGATACTTTACTGTACAAGTAAATTTTTTTTAAAGATATATATTGTATTTGTTCTAGAGTGGCTGTTTGGTTCTTTTATTCAACATTCAGTTTTTCTGCTAAGATTGGCGTGTTGATTCACTATTTTCCTCTTTATGTAGCTGAGCCTGGTAAAGACAGCTGCTTTTAAAACCTTGGCTCACTAGGCTAATCCTCCACCTTGCGGCGCCGGCACCCAGGGTTCTAGTCCCGTCAGGGCGCCGGATTCTGTCCCGGTTGCCCCTCTTCCAGGCCAGCTCTCTGCTGTGGCCCGGGAGTGCAGTGGAGGATGGCCTGAATACTTGGGCCCTGCACCCCATGGGAGACCAGGATAAGTACCTGGCTCCTGCCATCGGATCAGTGCGGTGTGCCGGCCGCAGCGCGCCGGCCGCGGCAGCCATTGGAGGGTGAACCAACGGCAAAGGAAGACCTTTCTCTCTGTCTCTCTCTCTCTCACTGTCTACTCTGCCTGTCAAAAAATTAAAAAAAAAAAAAAACACCTTGTCTGCTAAAACCAGAGGGGGTCATCTTGGGCTGGACTTGATTGATCGATCACCTTTTGTTATTTTTTGTAATAGCTCGATTGAGATATAATTCACATATGCATAAAGTCTGTAGTCCGATTCAGTGGTTTTTACTGTTGTCACAGAGTTGTAGCATCATAACCAGTATACCAAACACCTGTTCCTCTGGTTCTTGTCTATTCTTAGTGTACCTGCCTTTGTCATTTGTACCTCCAACCTGTGACTGCTGCTTCAGCACACATTGCTTCTGAAACTGTGTTCAGCAGCACTGACTTCTCTCTTGCCTGAACATCGTTTTCACATTTCCAACTGCCCCACGGTTACTCCGTCCGATTCTCAGGCTGATCTGTCAAAGTTATTGAGTCCAAACATGAAATAGGGTTTTCCTTTCTAGCTTTCCTAATTCCGTTGATGACTGTGCCACTCTTCCTGTTCTCTATTTTAGTTTCCTGTGGCTGTTGTAATGAGTCGCCATCAGTGTAGTTGCCCAAAACAACACAGATTTATTCTTTTACTGCCCTGGAGGTCAGGAGTCTACAGACAGTTTCCCTGGGCTAAAGTCAAGATGTTGACAGAGCTGGTCCAGGAAAGAAACTGTTCCTTGCCTTTGGAAGCTCCTAGTGGCCACCTTCTTCTTTGTGCCTTCTCTGCTCCAACAGCTGAGTCTGTCAGCACATCACTGTCTCTTCTACTCCTGGCTTCGGGATCCCTCCCATGAGGATTGTGATAACGTCAGGCCCACCCCCACAGTCCAGGGTAATCTGCTTACCTCAGGCTCCTTAACTTAATCACACCTGCAAATTCCCATGGAAGGTGACGTCATAGCTTCCAGGGAGTAAGACATGGACACATTTGGTGGTGGTGGCAGGTGGGGCAGGGTGGAGTGGGAGCTGGCATTTTGCAGCCTGCCCTACCATCCCAGCAGAGAACTCTAAAGCCATCATTATTTTCTTCCCTTATTTCCTGGTTGACTCCCAGCCTCACAGTGGCCAAATGTGTATTTCCATAAAGACTTTTGCTGTCATTGCTACCTGCCACATCAGCCTGCTAGCTGGGTTCACCTCACACCCTCCCCTGCCTCCCACAGATCAGGTTAGACTCATCTTCCTAATGCTGAGCATCTCATATGCCATGCTATTTATGGTCAGAGTCCTCACCTTAAGGGGCAAGCTGTTAGGATTCCAGACACAGCTGGCTGGCCATTCTTTTTTTTTTTTTTAATTTATTTATTTTTTTGACAGGCAGAGTGGACAGTGAGAGAGAGAGAGACAGAGAGAAAGGTCTTCCTTTTGCCATTGGTTCACCCTCCAATGGCGCACCACGCTGATCCGGTGGCAGGAGCCAGGTACTTATCCTGGTCTCCCATGGGGTGCAGGGCCCAAGCACTTGGGCCATCCTCCACTGCA